TTTGCATGTAATGCAGCATCATTTAAAATTGACGGCGTGTAGTTCTACGGCAGCCGCACTGCCACAGGGTGCAAAAAATAACAAACGCACACAAGAAATGATGGAGAAATTAGAAATGACGGAGAAACAACAAATTACTGCTCATGACATGCATACAAAAAAATATATTTATTGTGGCCACGAATTAAAAATTAATTCTCTCGTTCCCGTGGGCGGGCCCCCAATCAGCCCGGGCCCATTTGCACGTGCATACCCTGCATGCCCAGACGTTACGCCACTGGCTAAGGGGCAGACGGGTATTTTAATGTTTGTGTCACCTAACTAAATTGATTCCTGATGAAAAAGACCATTGTTATTTAATGCATAAAGCAACAATCAATCAACAATCAAATATAAATTGTAATATTTTTTCACAATATTTTGTTTTATTTGTATTACTTTTACTAATATTTTATTATTTTTTCATCTTGTTGGTGATCATAACAGACAACAGTATGTATATGCAGTACATTTCTAGTTGTCCTTTTTGTGTGAGCTATTTGAAAATCCTGTCTTCTTTTGCACACAACAAGCACAGCAACTCAGCTGAGAAATATTAACAGCCAGTTTTGATAATATAGTAGATGCACTGAAATGCATTTCATTTGGTCATCAGTTGACGTCCTGCATCAAATCAGATGGAATGCTTTGATGTTGGAGTGCATTTATTTTGACCCTCAAAGTATTTTTCAGTATACCTCATGAGCTTTCAGTAATGAACACATATAGTATAGCATAGAGTCGACTGGCCATTGCAAAATCAATTCTGACAGGATGATGCAGGATACAGTGTTGTCACCTGACCTCATCGCACTGTACATAGTGTACACACTCTATACTGCAGCAATAGCAAGGGTATTGTAGTAGTATGCTATTCCGAACATTGACCAAATCATTTTAGTGAATCAGTTTGTTCAGCTTTTCACATTCACAGAAACAAATGTTACAAATGATTCATTCAATGTCATGAGTTTCTAATAATGCATGGCTCTTAGTGAAGATGCAATTTACCATTTATTTATGCTGCATGTATAAAGCAGTTTGACATGATAAGAGAGTGTGCACACATTCAAATCATGATTTTATCCACTTCATGGCTTTTTAGCTATTTCCCCGAAGTGAAAGTTATTTGCGAGTCTTTTTAGGGTTAGGGTTAGGGTGTTGTCACATTAAGAAATAAACTTTAGTTTGATGTTTGATGTTAAACGCAACTTGACAGCACGTCGCCTGGGAGTTCTCATGCGAGGACAGTCTGTATATTAATGTTGAATATGTAAGCGCATCAACAGCCGTGATGTAATATTTAAAGTGCCAGCCACCCAGTTTCTTTCAGATCAAAGATTTGAAGGTGGTTTGTTTGATCTGGAAGCATTTGGCATGTGTTCACTCTTCATCTCTTCACGGTTACCCAAAACATCTTCAGTTCACAGAGTGTATGTACTGCATCTGCGGAGTGATGTTGGGTACCTTGGAACATAATTTAGATTCTCTCATGTTGTAAAAAAGAATGGAAAATATGTTTAAAGTAAGTAATGTACTGGAAGTGCATATAATAAAAAAAACAAAAACAAAAGCTACACATTTGTTCTTTTAAATCTTTAAAATCAGTAAACTTGTTTACTTCTTTTTTTATATTTTATGTTATTTTATTATTTTATTTTATTTTGAAAAACATTTTTTGAAACTTTTTTTTTTTTTTTTACATGTAACATTATTTCCCTCCCCCATTGCACTGCAAACACAGATTGTAATATAATCATTAGTGCTGTGAATTTTTGGGTAAACAGCGAATCGATTCGATTCATGATTCACGATTCATAGGGTTTCATTTTGATTCAAGAACGATTTTTGCCAATTCAGAACGATATGATACGAGACAATTTACAATTAAATTCAATGCGATTTGATTAACGATTCGATTCTGTATTTTTTAAGTGCATTCACAGGATTATTTAAATGCTTTGCAGACTTTATGGAGTCAGAGAGTGAGGGCAAAAAAACAAAAACACCCTTATGTGATATGTTAGTTTAATGATGCTATGGCATGACATATGGCATATGCAGAAATTTACTGTAAAAGTAGCCTATTATTTCGTGTTAACTGCTATGTAGCATAGTGTGAATGTATAGGGTAACACTTTGTCACACCTCTGTATGATGAGCGTCTTTATCTTATTTTCATAAAATAAAATCCTACAGTATATAACTTTTCCTTTCTTGAATGATGATTATGAAAGTAAATGCGAAAGAAGCCTATTATTTCGTGTTAACTACTATGTAGCATAGTGTGAATGTATAGGGTAACACTTTATGTCACACCTCTGTATGATGAGCGTCTTTATCTTATTTTCATAAAATAAAATCCTACAGTATATAACTTTTCCTTTCTTGAATGATGATTATGAAAGTAAATGCGCCTGATGTCTACTGTTTGCTATAATAACAAACTCAATTTTCACGCATCTGATTGACAGATAAACCTCACGCTCTTATTTCAATATTGTTGTTAATGCTGTGGTTATTTTAACAATTTCCTTCTTACTTTAAGTTAAAAGTCATTTATCATACAATGGTACTGTGCGTATGCTTTCAGACACATTGTTTTTGCTCCTTCCATGCAATAAATGCATAGCCTTCAACTGCTCAGGTAATGTCAATGGTATGACCGAGAGCCACTGAAAAACTACAGAAAAGTAAAACTACTTTACTCTAGCAGTACTGGCCACGAGTACTGAGGAGAGATCACACATTGGCTGGTCAGAAAATGTGTCAGTGAGAGCTATGAACGGAGCGCGAGCACAATCCTGTGACAGGCAGTGAATATTGTAGAGCATGTGAAGGAGAGATGTGAGGACGCAAATTACGCTGTTTAAGGCCTCCATTAATTCGTGCTTGTAGTAATTTAATGTGTATATATTTTAAAGCATTGAATCACTGTAGAAATCGCGATTAATTTGATTCTTAGCGTTTTAAATCGATTATTGGCCGAAATCAACGATTCACGATTCAAAAATCCATGTTTCAAGATCGATGCATATCTTCAGGGTTTGCAATCGATGCATCGAGAACTTAGCAATTTTGTAGCTAAATTTTGCAACTTTTCAGACTACCCTAGCAACTTTTTCTTGCAAAAGCACCTAGCAACAAATTTAGCAATTTTTTAAAATTTATTTGGCAACTTTTAGCAACTTTTGATTAGTGACTCGGACAATAAAAAGGCACTCATTTTCCATCCAAATGACACAAAAAGAGGAAACCAAAGATGCCTAGCAGTGCATACATCACGTGAACCGAGTTAGCTGCTATTTGCAATTGTTTAATTTAATAATTTAATAATTGTTCATTTATGATACACTTTGTTAGTGGCTTGTACCTGTGATTGTTGATCAGTTAGTGCACTGTAAGAAAAATGGAAAAAATACTAGTAATTTTCCAGGACATTATCCATTGTAATCCTGTAACCCGAAAACACAATGCGTAATTTAAAATGCAGGTAAAAAACCAATACGGAAAATTCTTTCATATTAACATAGTAGATTGTGCCCTATTTTTACAGACTTTTCTTAGAGTATAGCATACTAAATACTAATACACTGCTTAAAGCATAATTGTTGAGAATGTGTAGTATTAGTAGTTTACTAGCTATAAAAAAACTTAAATTGTAATCATTCAAAACTGTGTAAGTGTTCAATAATTCAATGTATTTAAAAATACAGTTATTTATATTTTAATATTATATTATGCATATTATTTTACAAACAAATCTAAATCTAAATGAACATATATAGAATATATTTTTTGCTGAGATTTGATTTGACTATTTTGCGTCGTGATTACGCAATGACGTCATCACGCAATGACATCACAACGTCATTTAGAAACTTTTAGCAACAAATCGACCTTCTTTTAGCAACTTTCTCTGAAAATTAATTGGCAACACTGGAGCGAATCGTTACAGCCCTAATAATCATCATCTATGGGTCTGGCAGCAGATTTTCTATTGCAAATGATTAGCCATAACAATGTACATGTATCCATCATGACCTGAGTCACGGCGCACTGATGTCCTCCTGTGCCTCGATTCTAATGTCACTTAACAATTTCTCTGCATTGTCCGGCTGATCAGACAGAGAGGGCAGACAGGTCAGCTAAATGTTACTGCCTGAAAATACATTTTCTTATGAATTATTTTTCTTCTGAGAATATAAAATATATGCTATTATGACCCCTTTTATATTCTGCAAAGTCATCAGTATTATTAGTATGGGTTTTAGTATCACACACACACACACACACACACACACATATATATATATATATATATATATATATATGTGTGTGTGTCTAGATATCTAGATACAGATATATATTTGTATATATGTGTGTGTGTGTGTGTGTGTGTGTAATATATGTGTGTTTATTAATATTTTGGATTTTAATTTTTGTTTATAGTTTTAGTAATTTTGTTATGTGCTTGTTATGTGCATTTTATGTTTTTTTTTTTGTTCTATATAGTTTTATTAGTTTTTACTTATATATTCTATATAGCTCCATTTATATTTCAGTTTTATTTCAAGTCTTTTAATTTGATGTTTTTTTGTGTAATAAAGATGATGTAGCTGGCCAGATGATCCTGTGGGACTTTTTTTTATTTTAGTTAATTACATTTTTGGCATTTTATTAGCACAAGCTAGAAGATAAGAATGATCACAGTTTCTCTGTGTTTGGCCTTCACAGTTCAGTCACCCCTTTTACAGCATTTAAAGCAGTTCAGTTGATAGTAAATAGTATTGTATATAGTGTTTTCTGAGATGGTTTTTCCCCACAATGTATTTATATTCTCTTACATCTCTATCTACATGATTTCAGATGGACGTCGCCTGTTTTTTTTATACACTCTGAGCTGATTCCTGGTTTGGCTCATCCAGGGTCATTGTAATGAAGCTGTGATTGCACTGCAGGTCAGAGAAAGCAGGGATGCAGAGGCGGCGAAGAGGTGCTTGGCTGCGATTGAACAGTGTGCACGTACCAGAGATGGAAATCTACTGGAGCTCGCCGTGGAGGCCGCGAGAGCCCGGTGGGTCCGGCTTCATGAAGTCCAGATACAGAGAACTTTTGAAAATGATTGTATCTCAACCAAAAAGCAAACACATTTACAAAAGGTTTATTCAAATCCTGAACCTGAAATAATATTAGGGTGTCACTTATTTGTGTGAAGAATTAGTGTGTCAGTTGCTTTTTCATTTATTGCTCATTAGATTATTTATTATTTATCAGTGTATTTATTAGCTTTAGATCTAATCATTTGCATAATTATTAATCTGTAACAAGAAACTCAGATGAGATTACACCTCCATATTTGCAAAGAAAAAAAAAGAGTAATTGCAGGTTTATCTCACAATTCAGACTTTTTTTCTAGCAGTTCTGAGATATGAGAGATTTAAACTTGCAGTTCTGGGGGGAAAAAAGTCAAAATTGTTGTTATGTTTTTACCTTGGCGGAAAAAAAACAGCATAGCGAGAGGTAAACGATTGTGAGTTGTAAACTAGAAAAAATTAGAACACAGTTTATATCTTGCAAGTCTGCCTTTTTTTCTTAGAATTGTTAGAATCAAAGTCAGACTTGTAAGATGAAAAGTTGCAATTATTTATATATTATGTTATATTATTATATTATGTTATATTATATTATATTACATTGTATTATATAATATTTTTTATTTTTCCTCACTGAAATGAGTTCTATACTTTTTTCTCATGCAAATCTGTGGGTTTCCAGTCCAGAATATCCGGTCAACTTTTTTTTTTTTCTTTGATTTTTCACATATAATAAACACTCCTGCTTTTGGAAGTCCAGCTGGAAGAGCTCGAGTTAGTGGAAGTGTCTGTGTTTTGCCCAGCTTAATGCGAAGCTGGTGTTTCTCAGCAGCAGATTGGGCTTTGAACATATGGAATGTTATTTCTAATTTTTTACTGCACTGCAAACACAAATTCCATCATATAACAATCCAAACAACAATACAGGAATTGTGTTGCATGATATAATGTGATTATGTGTGGATTAAAGGATTCTGTTGGATTCTGTAGGTGTTCGGTGGGGGAGATCACAGATGCCATGAAATCTGTTTTTGGGGAGCACAAGGCCAGCACGCGCATGGTGAGCGGAGCGTACCGCAGTGAATTCGGCGAGCATGAGGAGATAGCGCTGGCGCACAACAGGTAGGAGCTTGCAGATTCCTGAAACGGAGTACCACTTTCGGGAACTCTACTCATTCTCCACATCCAGATATGCCTGCTTTCCTACTATATAGTATGCTAAAATCAGTATGTCAAATGAGTAGTATGTCCAAATAAGTGGACAAAAACTGGTCCTTCTCAGGTCTTGACTGTTGGAAATGTATATTATTAAAGTCAAAAGTGTGTGTGTGTGTGAATATATATATATTTATGTATGCATGTATGTATGTATATACAGCGGGTAAGATAAGTATTGAACACATCACCATTTTGCTCAGTAAATATATTTCTAAAGGTGCTGTTGACATGAAATTTTCACCAGATGTCGGTAACAACCCAAGTAATATTTATGTATGCATGTATGTATGTATATACAGCGGGTAAGATAAGTATTGAACACATCACCATTTTGCTCAGTAAATATATTTCTAAAGGTGCTGTTGACATGAAATTTTCACCAGATGTTGGTAACAACCCAAGTAATCCATACATACAAAGAAAACAATACAAATAAGTTCAGAAATTAAGTTCTGTGTAATAAAATGGAATGACCCAGGGAAAAAGTATTGAACACGCTTACTGAAATGTATTTAATACTTCGTACAAAAGCCTTTGTTGACAATGACAGCTTCAAGACGCCTCCTGTATGGAGAAACTGGTTGTATGCATTGCTCAGGTGTGATTTTGGCCCATTCTTCCACACAGTCAATCTTCAAATCTTGAAGGTTCCATGGGCCTCTTCTATGAACTCTAATCTTTAGTTCTTTCCATAGATTTTCTATTGCATTCAAGTCAGGTGATTGGCTGGGCCATTCTAGCAGCTTAACTTTCTTTCTCTGAAACCAAATGAGAGCCACAGCCATATCACCCTGCAGCCCAAGACTGGTTGCCCACTGAAGCTAAGCAGGGTTGAGCCTGGTCAGTACCTGGATGGGAGACTTCCTGGGACCTCCTGGGAAAACTAGGTTGCTGTTGGAAGAGGTGTTAGTGAGGCCAGCAGGGGGTGCTCACCCTGTGGTCTGCGTGGGTCCTAATGCCCCAGTATAGTGACGGGGACACTATACTGTCAAAAAGCACCGTCTTTCGGATGAGACGTTAAACCAAGGGTCCTGACTCTCTGTGGTCATTAAAAATCCCATGGCACTTCTCGTAAAGAGTAGGGGTCTAACCCCGGTGTCCTGGCCAAAACTGCCTCCTTGGCCTTTGTCAGTCATGGCCTCCTAATAATCCCCAACCACTTGATTGGCTCTATGACTCTCTCTCCTCTCCACCTGTAGCTGGTGTGTG